GAACATAGACATGGGGACACTGGGAGACATGAGGACACAGACATTTGGGGGTACTGGGAGATATGGGGACACTAGGGACACTGGCTGGGAGACATGGGGACACAGACACTGGCTGGGAGACATGTGGACACTGGGAGACATGGGGACACTGGGAGACTGGCTGGGAGACATGGTGACATAGACATTGAGAGAAGTGGGGACACTGGGAGACATGGAGACACTGTGTCCCTAGTGTCTTCATGTCCCAATGTGACTCCCTATGTCTCACAGCGTCCCAGCATCCCCATGTTTCTCAGTGTCCCCAAGTGTCTCAGTGTCCCCACATCTCCCAGTGTCCCGTAATGTCTCATTGTCCCCATGTGTCCCCTAGTGTCTCAGTGTCCCCATGTCTCCCTGCTGCCTTTCCCCCATCCTTCACATACCTGGCCTGTAGTCTGTCTCTGCAGGCTGGGAGCAGCTGTCTGGACTCTGTGCTGTGTAGCTGCTCCCCTGTGCATCAGTGGGTAGAGAGAGGCAGGGAGATGCTACAACTTCCTATCCCTGCTTCTCTCCATACACAGTGACCCCTACTGGTATTGCAGAGTAATCTCAGTTTGTACTAAGAAAAATATTTGCATTTGTACTGCCGGTATTACTGCAATACCGTCACGGCCAGGCAGTCTCAAATGCCGTCTGTGCCTTCAGTCTGGTAGCAAACCTAAGAATAGTGTGTAAAATAAATAAATAAATAAAGTATGCTGTGCTGTGAATTGTTGGAACTGCAAGGGAGCATGATAGAGAGACATGCTCCTCCCTCCTTCAGTCCTCAGCATTAGTGACAGTGTGGCTGACACAGCGAGGCTGCCACCCGGCCCGGCGGCTCCAGCATTGAACGCGGCCGGCCCCCTCTCACTTCACTCGGTAAATGGGAGGTGGAAAAAACTGAATAGAGACACAAGGGGAGGGGGAAAAATAAAAGAGAGGGGGAATAGATAGACGCAGGGGAAGAGGGAAGAAAGAGACAGTGGGAGAATAGAGAGAGAAACAGGGGGAGGGGAAGGAAAGAGACAGAGGGGGAGAGAGAGTGACGCAGGGAAAGGAGGGAGAAAGAGACAGAGGGGGAAGAGTGAGACACGGTGGAGAGAGATGGTGGAGGGGGGAGGAAGAGACAGAGGGGGAAGAGAGATGTGGGGGAGAGAGACACAGGGAAAGGGGGGCAGAAAGAGACAGAGTGGAAGAAAGAGACACAGGGAGAAAGGAGAGAGACACATAAGGGGAGGAGAAGAAAGAGGCAGAGGGGGAAGAGAGAGACTGGTAAGGAGAGGGGAGATATGGACACAGAGGAGCAGTGAGGGAGAGATAGAAACATACAGAGGGACTGGGGGGAGACAAAAAGGCACACAGAGGGGCTGAAGATAAAAAGAGACACACATAGGGGCTGTATATATCACTGGTAGATCCAGGGGGGACAACTGGGCAAATGCACCCCCCCTCGCCGGACGATCTCTCTCCCTGGTCCGCAAGCACCATGTGGGCAGCTGGCAGGGGAGGGAGGGAAGCTCAGCCTGCAGCTCTTCTAGGTCCTTCTTGTGCCAGCTCAGAGCGTTGCTGCGGTTACCACGGCAATGCTCCGGCTCTCGCGAGAGTGAACTCTAGCTCTGGACCTACAGGCTAGAGTTCACTCTCAACACTGCGACCACCAGGGATTCCTGGTGGTCGCAGTGGTGAGAGTGAACTCTAGCCCCATACACACACTGCCCCCACACACACACCATACACATTTACACACATTGCCCCACACACACACAGACCCCCATACACAACCCACCATACTAACATTGCCCCACACACCCTACACATTCACACTCAGACACTACACCCCCCCCCACACACACTGAACCTTTCACACACTGTACCCCTCACACATTGCACCTATACCCTACTACAGCCCCATATCCCAGCAGACCCCAGGTAAGTTGTTAAACTGTTCTTAAATGGTTTGACTTCTTACTCTGGGAGGGGGTCCCGGCCCTCCTGGCACCATAATCACTACACAGAGCAGTAGCGGTTATTGTGCATGGATTATATCTTTAAATAATCTACAACTGCCCCACCTGGGATCAGGCTCTGGATCCGCCACTGGTATATGACATGCATATTAATGTGTGTATTAGATATAGATAGAAAGCCCATGTATTGGCACTGAAACGTCGATATTTTTAAATGATATACAATAAAAGTTATATTTTATTTTTACTATCATCAAGTCCTTGGAGTGCGGTCATTTCCAATCTTATATATACCTATTTATTTACACATATATTAATGTAGATTTATATATGCATAATACACAGAGAAATGTAATTAATATGCACCATATGTAATGAGCAAATATTGGCCCAGTCTTGTTGCTAGGTGAATACTCCAGCACAATAACATATTGAAAGTAAAGAGCGCACCGACAGGACTTCAAAATAAACTAGATAAGATTGTTTTTTACAGTTGTGCCCTATATACATTCACCATTTCAGTCCCATTACCAAGCTTTCCTTGATATGTCAAGGTAGTTGGACTGAAACATTGATTACATGCACAGGCACATTTGCTTACAATAAATCTGCACTTGTGTTTATTTTGAAGCCTATGAGTGCTTTTTTTTTTAACGTTGGAGTCATAATTTTTAAGTTATCTTTTCTAACTCTGTATCTGCACACTATTCTGGCGCGACGCATTATGGGGCTGGTAAATAATTTTTTTCCAGGGCTGCTTTTAATTCCCAGTCCCTGTGGGGCCCGGACTGCACAGGTAATCCAATGCAAGCCCGGGCCCCCGGCCCTTCAAAGTGCATATATATATATAGAGAGTACCGCTATATATATATATATATATATATATATGCCTCTGCGGGCCCTGCTGGCTTCCAAGCGGGGCCCAGGATACACTGACACTCCGACACTCTCGCGAGCCACAGCAGTAAAGCGGTGCCGTGGGTTGTCGTGACAACGCTCCGCAGCATGCAATGCATGCTGGGCTTGCTACACAGGTAGAGCACTGGCTGCAGGAGGGGGAAGATGGAGTCTGCTGGGCCCCTCTATGCTGGCCCAACAAGCTGAGCCACCGGACCACCATGGAATCCACTGTCCCCTTTCCTGGCTACAGAAAAGAGGCAGGGAGGGAGAAATAATTTTTTATTTTTTTTTAAATTATAAAAATTCAACAGCTAAAAAATACCCCCCAGCAGCATTTGTCACACATCCACTACACAACCACACACATCATCCACTACACAAATACACATCATTTACTACACAACCACATACATCATCTACCACATAAACACACAAACTGCATCCACTACACAACCACACACTACAGTGTCCCCACTCCCTGGCTACAGGTAAGAGGCAGGGAGGGAGAAATACATTAAAAAAAATATATATATAAAAATTCAACAGCTAAAAATACACACACACACTGCATCCACTACACAAACACATCATCCACTACACAAACACACATCATCCACTACACACACACATCATTCACTACACACTACATCCACTACACAAACACACACTCTGCATTCACTATACATACGATTCATTCACTTTACACATACTCTCTATCCACTACACAAACATTAAATCTGAATCCACTTTGCATCCACTACACACATTCTACAGCCACTATACACACACACACAACCAAATTCAGTACACACACACACACACACACACACACACACACTTCATCCTTGTGGGTGGACTCAAGATGGGTCATGTGAGCAGACTCGGGGAAGGTCATGTGGGCTGACTTGGGGCCCAGACCTTGAGCTTCGTCAGGGACCCCAACATTTCTGGTGGCTGCCCTGCCCGCCACGCCAGTGCACTGTGCATGCAGCCGTGCACATAACAGAATGTGCACTAACTGCAGAGTTATTTTCACCTGTCTATCAGTACCGGGCAGCCGGCGCTACTTACCTCAGCATAGGAGGAGCATATGATTTCATTATAAGTGTACTGTGACGGTAGTAAACTGTATCACCGTCCAGTATTCCCTTTTTCCCAGTAGGAGAATAATAACAATAATCCACAGCAATAAATATCGCTAGTTTCGCCAAATAATCCACACATGAGCCAAAGCTTAATGCTGGAACAAAACTGATTTACTGGAAGCAACAGGCATTCAATTTATACAGTAACAGACTCCTCCTCTGGGCCAGGCTAGATAACTGAGTTTCAGCAACATACTAAACTCAATTATCTGCTGGCCAGAAACATTACAATTTTCAAAATTTTTAGAAAAATACTTTCTGCATAACATAGAAATATATAAACCACATCCCTGGGTAGCTGAGGATACTGGGAGTCACATATCCAAATTTCACGAAAATACATTCGGTAGTTTCCGTGTCGCATCGTGTGGAAGTTTGACCGGCTCGCCATGTGGTGGTATCCGATTTAGAGTTCCATGAAATCAGTAGTAAGAGCCGGTCTCCGTTCACGCAGAATTACACGAAAACTACCATAGATATTTTGCGGCTGGTTACATGAAAGTGCTCCCCTCGTTCGGTAGATTAAAACTCCCGAACGCTGGTTTGATACTATGAGTGGAAATAGGTCAGACGGGACTTCCATAATCACCGGATGTTCGTGTGATTGCCATGCCGAAAACAGTTCCAGTCAATCCATGAGTAAGTCCCGCATTTGGGAGATTTAAGATGGCGGCCACCTAGGAGCACTCAATTAAGTTGCGGTTTTTGGTGTGATTACTCGGTGTTCCAAATTCTGATTGCTACCCAGGGTGGTCTCCGGTCGGTAGAACGAATACATTTCCCGAACACATAATTAAAACAAAGCTTTCAAAGGTAGTTAATGAGCAGTGAGAGGACACAACCGAATGAACACAGGTGAATACAGGGAAATCCTTTGCCTATCTCAAAATACACTTATAATGAAATCATATATATGCATTATGTGTGTATATATATATATATATATATATTATAAAATGTTTTAATAATAACATATACATATATAGAAAATAAAAGTGTGTGTGTGTGTGTGTGTATGTATATATATGCACACACACACACACACACTTTTATTTTCTATATATGTATAATATATTATTAAAACATTTTATATATAATGCATATATATGATTTCATTATAAGTGCATTTTGAGATATATGTGTATATACGTGGACCCCTTGCTCGCGGTGCCTAGAGATATATCAGCTATGCCTCACTGACGATGCCTAACAAGGCTGAAACGATCGTCTGGGGTTGCTGTATCTCTCGTGCAAAGAGAATTTGTGGACATTTCGGATCTGGACTGCCCGTATGGGTGGGACCAGTCTGATATGCTTCAGATATGTTCTCTCTGTAATGGCACAAGATGAGCTAAAACCAGCTTGAGTTCTGAGCGGGGACCCACCGAAGGGCAGGCTATTTTAGCTGCTGTCCGTTCTCAGAATACTCTTGCGACCCATTTTTTGCTCTCCATTAGTTTAAAGGGTAATCCAGACGTGGACCCCTTGCTCACGGTGCCTAGAAAGATATCAGTTATGCCTCACTGACGATGCCTAACAAGGCTGAAACGATCGTCTGGGGTTGCTGTATCTCTTGTGCAGAGAGAACTTGCTGGCATTTGGGATCTGGACTGCCCGTATGGGTGGGACCAGTCTGATATGCTTCATATATGTTCTCTCTCTAATGGCACAAGATGAGTTAAACCCAGCTTGAGTTCTGAGCGGGGACCCACCGAAGGGCAGGCTATTTTAGCTGCTGTCAGTTCTCAGAATACTCTAGCGACCCATTTTTTGCTCTCCATTAGTGTAAAGGGTAATCCAGACGTGGACCCCTTGCTCACGGTGCCTAGAGAGATATCAGCTATGCCTCACTGACGATGCCTAACAAGGCTGAAATGATCGTCTGGGGTTGCTGTATCTCTTGTGCAGAGAGAACTTGCTGGCATTTCAGATCTGGACTGCCCGTATGGGTGGGACCAGTCTGATATGCTTCAGATATGTTCTCTCTGTAATGGCAAAAGATGAGCTAAAACCAGCTTGAGTTCTGAGCGGGGACCCACCGAAGGGCAGGCTATTTTAGCTGCTGTCCGTTCTCAGAATACTCTTGCGACCCATTTTTTAATCTCTTAGCATAATTACGTGATTTTATTAATTAAAATTTGACTGACATGCCTGACAACCCAGACAGAAAGTGCAGAGAATTTAATTCGCAAGCCCTATATTTAACCCTGTAACTTTCCAAGACACCATAAAACCTGTACATGTGGGTACTGTTTTACTTGGAAGACCTCGCTGAACACAAAAATATTAGTGTTTCAAAACAGTAAAATGTACTACGATGATATCATCAGTGAAAGTGATTTTTTTTTTGCATTTTTCACAAACTAATGGCACTTACACTGACGATATAATTGCTGTGATAAGTTTTACTGTTTTGAAACACTAACATTTGCATTCAGCGATGTCTCCTGAGTATAACAGTACCCCTAATGTACAAGTTTTATGATGTTTTCAAAAGTTACATAGTCAAATATAAGGCTTGCATTTCAGTTTTTTCACATTGAAATTCACCAGATTGGTTACGGTGCCTTTGAGACCGTCAACAATTACCCCCATGATGGCATACCATTTGCAATAGTAGACAACCCAAGGTATTGCAAATGGGGTATGTCCAGTCTTTTTTAGCAACCACTTAGTCACAAACACTGGCCAAAATTGGCGTTCAAATTAGTTTTTTGCATTTTTCACACACAAACAAATATTAACATTAACTTTGGCCAGTGTTTGTGACCAAGTGGCTACTAAAAAAGACTGGACATACGCCATTTGCAATACTTTGGGTTGTCTACTGGTATGCCATCACTGGGGTACCTCTCATTCTATTTGACCCTGTAACTTCCCAAAACACCATAAAACCTGCACATAGGGGATACTGTTTTACACGTGAGACATTGATGAATACAAATGTGTATTTTATTGCAGCAAACAGTATTCACAGTGAAAATGTCACGTAGAACTAACAAAATAAAAACAATTCTTATTTTCTCCCATTTTTTATATTTTATTCATATTAAATTATGTCTCATACCTAAATATTTGATGTTAAATGAAAGCCCTGTTTCCCCTGAATAAAATGATATAAAATAAGTGTGGGTGCACTTACAGGGAGTGCAGAATTATTAGGCAAATGAGTATTTTGACCACATCATCCTCTTTATGCATGTTGTCTTACTCCAAGCTGTATAGGCTCGAAAGCCTACTACCAATTAAGCATATTAGGTGATGTGCATCTCTGTAATGAGAAGGGGTGTGGTCTAATGACATCAACACCCTATATCAGGTGTGCATAATTATTAGGCAACTTCCTTTCCTTTGGCAAAATGGGTCAAAAGAAGGACTTGACAGGCTCAGAAAAGTCAAAAATAGTGAGATATCTGCAGAGGGATGCAGCACTCTTAAAATTGCAAAGCTTCTGAAGCGTGATCATGGAACAATCAAGCGTTTCATTCAAAATAGTCAACAGGGTCGCAAGAAGCGTGTGGAAAAACCAAGGCGCAAAATAACTGCCCATGAACTGAGAAAAGTCAAGCGTGCAGCTGCCACGATGCCACTTGCCACCAGTTTGGCCATATTTCAGAGCTGCAACATCACTGGAGTGCCCAAAAGCACAAGGTGTGCAATACTCAGAGACATGGCCAAGGTAAGAAAGGCTGAAAGACGACCACCACTGAACAAGACACACAAGCTGAAACGTCAAGACTGGGCCAAGAAATATCTCAAGACTGATTTTTCTAAGGTTTTATGGACTGATGAAATGAGAGTGAGTCTTGATGGGCCAGATGGATGGGCCCGTGGCTGGATTGGTAAAGGGCAGAGAGCTCCAGTCCGACTCAGACGCCAGCAAGGTGGAGGTGGAGTACTGGTTTGGGCTGGTATCATCAAAGATGAGCTTGTGGGGCCTTTTCGGGTTGAGGATGGAGTCAAGCTCAACTCCCAGTCCTACTGCCAGTTCCTGGAAGACACCTTCTTCAAGCAGTGGTACAGGAAGAAGTCTGCATCCTTCAAGAAAAACATGATTTTCATGCAGGACAATGCTCCATCACACGCGTCCAAGTACTCCACAGCGTGGCTGGCAAGAAAGGGTATAAAAGAAGAAAATCTAATGACATGGCCTCCTTGTTCACCTGATCTGAACCCCATTGAGAACCTGTGGTCCATCATCAAATGTGAGATTTACAAGGAGGAAAACAGTACACCTCTCTGAACAGTGTCTGGGAGGCTGTGGTTGCTGCTGCACGCAATGTTGATGGTGAACAGATCAAAACACTGACAGAATCCATGGATGGCAGGCTTTTGAGTGTCCTTGCAAAGAAAGGTGGCTATATTGGTCACTGATTTGTTTTTGTTTTGTTTTGAATGTCAGAAATGTATATTTGTGAATGTTGAGATGTTATATTGGTTTCACTGGTAATAATAAATAATTGAAATGGGTATATATTTGTTTTTTGTTAAGTTGCCTAATAATTATGCACAGTAATAGTCACCTGCACACACAGATATCCCCCTAACATAGCTATGAACTAAAAACAAACTAAAAACTACTTCCAAAAATATTCAGCTTTGATATTAATGAGTTTTTTGGGTTCATTGAGAACATGGTTGTTGTTCAATAATAAAATTAATCCTCAAAAATACAACTTGCCTAATAATTCTGCACTCCCTGTAATATGAAAAAGGCAAATTACGGTTGAACAGACACATAGTCAAATTCCAAATTTTGTTTCCGTTTTGTTTTGATCACAACATGTACATTTGGTTCATTCCTTAAGGGGTTAAACCAGTAAAACGTATCACAACGATGAAATCACCAATAAAAGTGAAGTTTTTGTGTAAAAAAAAGAAAAATGCAAAAAAACAAATAAAAACACTAACTTTGGCCCGCGTTTGTGGCTAAGTGGCTACTAAAAAAGACTGGACATACCCCATTTTGAATACTATTGGTTGTCTACTTTTACAAATGGTATGCCATGATGGGGTTAATTTTCATTCCTGGGCTGCTATACGGTCTCAAAGGCAACATAGGCCCAGCAAACCAATCTGTCAAATTTCAATGTGCACACATGGAAAAGGGGAAAGCCCTACATTTGACCCCTGTAAGTTTGCGAAAACCCATAATACCTGTATATTGGGAGCACTGTTGCACTCGGGAGATGTTGCTGAACAGATATTGGGGTGTTTTTTGGCAGTAACCCTTAAAGTTCTCTGACATGTATTCTTAAATTGCTATATGTGTCACAACATTTTTTTTTTTTGGCATAGATTGGTGGTAAAATGGTTGGATGAAAAGAGTCAAAATACCCCAAGTTTAATACCTTAGGTTGTCTTCTTTTAAAAAATATATACACGTGAAGAGTTATTCAGGGATATTAGTGTTACAATCAGGGGCAGACTGAGAACCCTCAGGGCCCCCGGGCAAAATAAATCAAGGGCCCCTTTACAGGCCCCACCCATACTCTGCTGCAAGCGCCACCCTTGTCCCGCCTCCAGCCACACCCTACACAATCTTTAGACACAAGGAACAAAAGGGCAATAAGCCCTTCGAGGCCCCAGCAGAGACTCCAATTGAGGGCTAATGGGCCATGGAGGGGGGTCTTTCTAGCAGAGGCTATCTCAGTGTCCTTTAGAGAATGTGTTAGAAAGAATCCCCTCCAAGCCCCATTAGAGACTACAATGGAGTCTAATAGGCTTGGAAGGGGGTCTTTCTAACAGAGGCCATCTCAGCATCCATTAGATATCCCCTGCTGGAAACAGTCGCTTCCAGGCCCCAGTAGAGACTACAATTGAGGGCTAATGGGCCATGGAGGGGATTTCTAGCAGAGGCTATCTCAGTGTCCTTTAGAGAGTGTGTTAGAAAGAATCTCCTCCAGGCCCCATTAGAGACTACAATGGAGTCTAATGGGGCCTGGAGGGTGGTCTCTCCAACACTCTGGTTTCTATTCACAATATAGCAACACAACATAGCTCGCTGATATCTAGGCCAAGTTGGCTCCTCTTACCTTAATTACTGTTGCTGGCTGGCAGTCTGTGGGC